TTCTTCCTAATAGTTTCTGGCTCCTCATTCCTACGTTCCCTTTCATTTTCCTCATTCAACCACTCCTCAAACTATTCCTTCCATCTTCTCAGCACACTTTCCTCACTTGTGATTACATTTCCATCTCTGTCCTTAATCAAGCTTACCTGCTGCACATCCTTTTAAGCTTGATTCCACTCTCCTGGACCTCATGCTTGACATCTGGGTTTCTGTAGCCTCCCCCTCCTCTCCATTAGGTCTCCAGCACCTTCCTACCTGTCTCCCTAATCACTGCAGCTGTAGTCTCCCAATCATCTGGGAATTCCTCAACACGGCCCAGAACTGCCCTTACCTCCTTCCTGAAGTCTTCACAACATGTCTCTTTCCTTAATTTCCACCACTTGATCTTCTGATCTGTCTTCACTCTCTTCCTTTTTTTCACCTCCATCGTCATCTTGCACACTACCATCCGATGTTGTTTGGCTACACTCTCGCCTGCCATCACCTTACAGTCTCTAATACATAGACATACACAGAATAAAATCTATCTGTGGGGACCTGCCTCCACTCTTGTAAGTCACCCTGTGCTCCTCTTTCTTTTAGAAATAGGTGTTTCCCACAGCCATTTCCATTCTCTTTGCAAAATCTACCACTGCCTGTCCTTCCAAGTTTCTATCCCTAACGCCAAACCTGCCCATCACTTCCTCATCACCTCTGTTCCCTTCCCCTACTAGGCCATTAAAGTCTGCTCCAATCACCTCTCTCTCTCCACTGGGGATGCTCTCTATCACCCAATCCAGCTCATTCCAGAACTTTTTTTCCAACTCACAGCCCATCAGTGGGGCATAACCACTGAAAACATTCATCATCACTCCTTCTATTTCTACCTTCACACACATCAACCTGTCTGACTCTTGTTTCACCTCCACCACATTTCTTGCATATTCTTCCTTTAGGATCACCCCTACTCCATTTCTCTTCCCATCCGAACCATGGTAAAATAGTTTGTAGCCTCCTCCAATGTCCATCCATCCATCATCATCTGCTTATCTGGGGTCACGGGGGCAACAGTCTGAGCAGGGACACCCAGACTTCCCTCTTCCCAGACACTTCCTCCAGCTCTTCTGGGGGGACCCCAAGGCGCTCCCAGGCCAGCCGAGCGACGTAGTCACTCCAGCGTGTCCTGGGTCTTCCCCTAGATCTCCTCCCGAAGGGGCAAGACCCGAGCACCTCCCGAGGGAGGCGTCCAGGGTGCATGCGATGTAAATGCCCAAGCCACCTCAGCTGACTCAGGGGCTCCTCTACTTTGAGCTCCTCTCATGTGACAGAGCTCCTCACCCTATCTCTAAGGGAGTGCCCTGCCAGCCTGCGGAGAAAGCTCATTTCGGCCGCTTGTATCCAGGATCTCATTCTATCGGTCATGACCCAAAGCTCATGACCATAGGTGAGGGTAGGAACGTAGATTGACCGGTAAATCAAGAGCTTTGCCTTTCGGCTCAGCTCCTTCTTCGCCACAACGGACCGATACAGCCTGCACCAATCCGCCTGTCAATCTCACGTTCCATCCTTCCGTCACTCGTGAACAAGACCCCAAGATACTTAAACTCCTCCACCTGAGGCAGGTTCTCCTCCCCAACCTGGAGGGTGCAAACCAACTTTTTCCGGTTGAGAACCATGGCCTCAGAATTAGAGGTGCTGATTTTCATCCCAGCAGCTTCACACTCAGACATCATCCGCAATAAGCAGAGATGAAATCCGGTGGCTCCCGAACTGGACCCCACCCGACACCTGGCTGCGCCTAGAAATTCTGTCCATGAAGATAATGAACAGAACCAGTGACAAAGGGCAGCCCTGCGGTTGTCCAACATGCACTGGGAACAGGTCCGACTTACTTCCGGCAATGCGAACTAAGCTCCTGCTCTGGTCGTACAGGAGCCCTTAGAAGAGGGCCCCCGGCCCCATATTCTCGGAGCACCCCCCACAGAATACCAAGAGGGACACGATCGAAAGCCTCTTCCAAGTCCACAAAACACATGTGGACCGGTTGGGCAAACTCCTATGAACCCTCAAGCACCCTGTGGAGAGTATAAAGCTGGTCCAGCGTTCCACGACCAGGACGAAAACCACATTGTTCCTCTTGAATCCGAGGTTCGACTATC